CTGGCTGTAGCAGCGCTATAGCGCTGCTATAGCGCTGCACAGCAAAAACGCATAAAAAACGACCCCTAAATGGAAATTGTTTATTTTTTTTTATGCAAAATTTACGATGATTTACAGTATTGAGAGCACAAGGTAGGTGTAAAGAAACAACCACTCATGCAGTTAAACTAATTACTTGAAGTTTGGTGCAAAAACGCATGATCGCACCAGCTCGCCTGGCGCGTTCCGGCCTGGGTTTTAATGTTGTCTTTCACTTGCGCTTGGGCACCGTGAATGGACGCCTTAAAAAAACATGCAAATTTTTTGGCGAAAAAGCGGTCTCGGGAACCAAACAAGAAGGGAAGCCGAAACTTCGCAGGAATTGTGGGTTAAAGATTTATGCATGTGTGGGTTAAGAATTTCAAATTCAGCCCGAGGCGTACGTGGTTCTGCCACACTGGCACATGGGATTTTTAGCGGGAAGATTGCTAACTCGGCAGCCAGAAAAGCTAGAAAGTAGAAATTTGGAAGTATTTTCCCCGTCCACGTACAACTTAAACATTTCAAATTCAGCTCCCAAGTACGCATGTTACTCACACACGGGTGTGTGAAAATTTTGGAGGAAGAATTACTAACTCAGGAACCAGTAAAGCTGGAAGCCTGAAGTTTTAGGGTAATGTTCCTCTTTTCAAGTGCAACTCAAGGATTTCAAATTTAGCTTTCAGTTACGCTTGGTAATCACGTATAGTCATTTGGAAGTTTTGGCGGGAAAATTGCTCATTGATTACTTAGGCTACTGTCAAAGAACAACGGGAATTTTTCATTTTCTTTATGCAGAATTTACAATGATTTACGCTACTGGGCCCACAAGACAAGTGCAAAGCAACAACCATTCATGCAATCAATGACCTGGTTATTGCAAGTCTGATGCAAAAACGTATGATCGTACCGGCAATCGTGATGCATTCCACCCTGAGTTTTTTAGAGCAGCGGAATAAACTATCGTCCTCACCCGGGAGGAGTGCTGCTCTTCAGCTGTAACAAAATCAAGCGAATTTCTTTGTAAGCTCCAACTACGAACAATTTTTATCGACAAATACGACGTCAATAAGCTGGATGGTTTAACGACAATTTAATTACATGCTCTCAGTAACAAATGAAATATGAAACAGGTGAAGGACGAATGTAGCTTATGATAATGTGATTTTCTCACAAACCGCTGCACGCCTTTCTCAAGAATTGCCACGGTCGTTAGTGGTCAGCTAGAAAATGAGTGAAGAATTTTGAGACCCAAAAATTTTTGTTTTTAAAAATCAAGAGAGACGAAGGTATTCGGGAAGTATCACAATTATTATTAAATGCTAAAAGCAGCTAGCCGCTATTAAAAATGCTGACAGAACCCTTTTTCGGCATTTGCTTACAAGCAAGCTGATGGTGAGTTTCGACTTTTTCCAACATGTTGGCACCAATTTGCCGCCCAAAGGAATTATGGAACCTAAAGGGATTCGGGTTAGGACCTGCTGCAAGGCAGAAATGCTTCTGCTCTGACTTTAATGACCAGGCAATCGTATTTCGAGTAAAAAAAAACACGAAGGCAGAGGAAAGAAATGTCGTCTTGTTCCTCATCATAATAGAAAGGTATATTAACAACGGACGAAATATGCTGAGAACAACTGGTGAACCAATCCCTCAACTGGTTCATTCGCTTCGATGATAAATTGGTACTGGAACAGGCTAAGTGATTAAAGCCACCACGAGTATGCTTTTAAGCAATTTCAAAATGAGCGAGTCATCTGCACCCTTACCCATGAGAATGGTGATTTGTTTTCCTTTTCATGTGCGCTTGTAAAGCTTCCGAGAAACAAATGTCGTCGCGCTTTGCAAACAAACCGTATCTTTTTATGGTGATCAAAAAAGCAATTTCTACGCTTATGTGTGATCTACAAGTCCCTTCAATTA